CAGCTTCAAAAAGAAGACATTGATCTGCAGCATGAGTTATCCTCGACAACTCTTAAACTAAGTATTAGGCAGATGGGAACAGGTAAGGAAACCTTACTCTGTGACACATCTACAGGTAGGGATCGTCTAATTGTACCAAAACACTATCGCCGCAACGTCTTCAATACGTTGCACAATCTTTCTCATCCAGGTGCTCGTACAACAATCGAACTTATAGCCGAACGCTTTTGTTGGCCTGGCATGAATAAAGACGTGAGGGAGTGGGCACGCTCCTGTGTAAGCTGTCAGAAATCTAAGGTAATCAGACACAACAAATGTCCCTTAGGTTCTTTCAAAACCCCTGACGCTCGTTTCGACCACGTCCATCTAGATTTGGTAGGACCCTTACCCGACTCGAACGGATACTCATATCTCCTAACATGCGTAGACCGTTTTACTCGATGGCCAGAAGCAGTACCGATTAAGGACATTACTGCTGAAACAGTGGCCCGCGCTTTCGTCGAACGATGGGTAGCAAATTTCGGCTGCCCTTCAACCATCACTACAGACCGCGGACGCCAGTTCGAATCTGGACTGTTCCGTTGTCTGACCTCACTATTAGGAATCACGCGCTTCCGAACGACCGCCTACCACCCACAAGCAAACGGGTTGGTAGAACGTTTTCATCGACAATTAAAAGCTTCATTATCAGCTTCAAACGTTTCACAGTGGACAGACGCTCTTCCACTCGTCTTGCTAGGTATCCGCAATGCAGTGAAAGCTGACATTGGATACACGGCATCTCAACTCGTTTACGGAACGACACTCCGACTCCCAGGAGAATTTGTGGATCCTTCAGCTTCCTCATTGAACATGGATCTAAACTCTTACACGAGTAGGCTTACAAACGCTATGCGTTCAGTTAAACCTGCTCACACTCGACCTCAATCAACTGATGTTTTCGTTCAACCCGAATTACGACATAGTACACACGTCTTCGTTCGTCGAGACTCACATCGACGACCCCTCGAATCAGCATACGAAGGACCCTTCAAAGTTCTTCAACGCGAACCTAAGTACTATGTAGTCAACAAGAACGGTACGAAAGATAGCATCAGTATCGATCGACTCAAAGCTGCGTACCTAGAAGAAAACCCTAGCTACGTCGATTTTCCTTCGGTACAAGCAAACGACACAGCTACTACACTCGTAGTACCCTACACGACAACCGACACACAACTTGATACTTCGTCAACGTCGATAGAAAAACCTAAAACAACGCGTTCTGGAAGACGAGTAAGATTTCCAGAACATCTTAACGAATATTGCACGTAGGACATAAGCTTTATCTTGAATTACCCTTCCATAGTTCATTATAAAAAAATTTTTAATATGATTATTTTTTATTTATATAAAAAAACCAAAAAAACATTTTATCTTTTTTTGAGCGTATATATATATTTTTTATATATAAAAAAAATAAAAAACACTGTTTTTCCTGATCGCTTTTACGCTGTTGGTAAGTGTATCAGCTTATTTTTTTCCAGCTCATCTTGTGTCCCTACGCAAGTACGAGTGTATTTCCGACATGCACTCACACGTTTTATTTTCTCTCTTTTCCAGGACGGCTGGAAAAGAACGACGAAGTTTTCGCAAGGAACAGAAATTTTCATTGTACTATATTTCTTTATTTGCTACGTTGTACATTTTGGTCCCATAGTTTAAGGAAAGACGACCAGACGCTGCTAAACGAAGCAAGCTATCAGAAGAGTGTTTACCAACGACAAATTCGTTGGGTTTAAACTTCTGGCTGGTCACGTCTTAGGGGCATCACTACCTCACTAGTGGAGGAGTGATCTGTAGCTGTAAATAATTCCCCAAAATCAATAGTTCATTAAGTGTTCGACATTGGATGCTGACCATGTTGTTTAAGTGGACTTGTTTAGCTGAAGGCTTTCGGTCATGCATCCGCACCAGATCACGTTTCAACTCGGCGTGGGACACAGCTCCTACGTTTCATTAGCCAGCTCATAGAAAAGGTCCTCGATATATTGGTAACGAATCAAATATATCTTTCCTGCCTCTTCTCGTCTGACTTCTGATTTCTATCTGACTGGGATCGATCGAACATAGAAGGTGCTACTGGTAACTAGTTGTAAAATTAGAACATCCGTTGCATCATCACAGTCAAGTCGGAAGTCAAAAACGACGACGTTCGAAGATATATTTGGGAGGCTATCGGTATGTCGAGAAACATTTGTTCCAAGCTGGCTAATGGTAGAAAGGGATGTGTAGCACGGCGTACGCACCCATGATCTGGTGCGGATGTATTACCGAGCAGCTTTAGCTAGGTGTGAGTTGTGAAAATAATGGGGTCGGCGTCAAATGTTGAACACTTACAGAGCTATTGATTTTGGGGATTAATTTGCTACTACATGACCTTATCGGCCCCAATCTGATGGAAAGGTCATCTTGCTTATTTAGTTTGTTTAGAGAACAAATAAAATCCAGAATATGAAGTGGCTTACCAAATGGAATTGATCGGCAAAATCTGATGTGCATAGACAGAAAAAGTAATTCCACACATCCAGTGTTTGTAGGAATTAGTTCTAGGTCAGTGTTAGTGCGCTTATTTTCGATGGTAGATTAATAAACCTAATCCAGTATTATGAACTAGTCATGATGTGACTAGTTTGTGTGTAAGATTACACTGAGAAGTAACATTGTTGTCCATACGGCGAACAGTACCTGTCGTAATAAAGTTTTCGAGAAGCTGAACGTCGTACATCAAGGTTAAAAATAGATACACGACGCAAAGAAAACTTGAAGAAGAGGTGAGTTGATTGTTACTTCAAGGGGAACATTTACTCGAATGAGTTTCGAGAAGTGATGGATACCTGGATTAAGTTTACAACACTGTCGTCTAGGAAGACTCAGATTACTTTATCCGCCGTAATTACCAGATCGCCTAGGTTTACAGATTTCAACAACCCATCAAGAATCTGAAACGAGCCACAGGGTAGCCTTCGTAAACACAAAGATGTGTTCCTTGGTCTTACTACTTTCCTTTTCTCTCCAGGATTCCAGGTTGCAGAGTGCTTCGTGATGCAGTTTGATTACTTCCTTAATTTATGTCTTATCCACTTCCAACGTCTTTTCCTAATTTCCCCTTCACTTGGAAGCCGGTTTGTTCTCTACCACAGTAGACTGTTGCTAATGGTATCCGGTCAACGGATATCCAGTATCCTGATTAGATAACTGCTTTTAAATACCTGTGCTCTTTTCGTGTTGGTTCAGATCTGTACAGTAGGACTGTATTGATACTCGTATTGAAGAATGTGACTTTGATATTGGTTGACAGTCGTTTTGAGTTCCATATATTCTTCAATTGTAGGAATGCTATCCTAGCTTCGCCGATCCTCACCTTCATACCTGCATCGGATCCTCCATGTTCATCGACGATACTTTCCAGGTACGTGAACGTTTCCATCTCTTCCAGAGTTTCTCCATCAAGTGTGATTGGGTTAGTGTTCTCTGTGTTGTATTTGAGGATCTTGTTTCTTCGCTTGTGTACGTTGAGGCCTACTGCTTCAGAGACTGCTGCTACACTGTTTGTCTTGACCTGAATTTGTTCGTGTGTATGGAATAGGAGAGGTAGGTCATAAGTGTGGTCCAACTCTTCTAATTGATTCAGAGCTGTCTTCTGTATTTCGTGCTTTCCTTCAGATGTCGAGACCTTCACAATCCAGTCGAACACCAGAAGAAAGAGGAAGAGAGAGTAAGCAGCCGTGTCCGAAAATAACTTGACAAATTCGTGGTCGGTCGTGGATAGAATGTAATAATAAATTCCTTGAGCCCTTCATTAATCTCAGTAGTTCTTGGAGTAACTCAGTGTTCTGTTTTGGGTCCTTCACTTTTTATACTGTACGTAAATGAACCTCCAAGTATAGTTGAATCCCCAATGTTACTATATGCTGATGATCTAAAAATCTGGCGATAAATATCAGAAGACACAGACGCATGCGCCTTTCAGGCTCATCCAAAAATGTGGTTGATATCCATCTACGCGGCAAACTGCGTCTACATGCATTTTGAGGATGCACGGGTAAATAGGTACAGCATAAGGTAAGTGCCAGCACTCGTGGTGCGGTCTCACAAGAATTTTGTAGTGACGTTAAGTCATGATCCCAAGACCGCTGTCAACTGCCACGAGGTTGTTACTGAGACATTTAGAACGCTATGGGCTTCAGAAGAACCTTTACCAAGTACGACACTACTGTGTTCGCTACAGTATACACAACCTTTGTGAGAACTAATCCTAAATACGGTGTTCAGGTTGCAGGCCCCTGTTTCAAAGGTGACTCAGATATCCTGGAAAAGGAATCGGGGAGTCTACCAGAGAGATTCGATAAACTATGAGGTTTACAATATAGAGAGCGGCTTGATAAGCTGGTTCTCTCCACTCTGTTCAACCACAGATTATGAGGTGATCTGATTTTGATGTAAGTATTACTAGGAAATGATTTTGGACCTGATATATTCTTCATTTTTCTTCCTATCAGTTCGAGACATCTCAGAGGACGTAGGAGGTGAGTAGAGAAGCCAAGAGCCAAGAGCGAACGAAATATTCGTGGTACAATGATTTTTCCAAAGAGTCATGGATTCTTGGAAACTGCTACCTGAAGCAGTGGTGTCCGCACCTTTAATTGACTCATTCAAGAGAGGAATGGACACTTATGGAAGCATACTAGAAAAGGAATGACGTAGGCCATAGACCTCTATCTACACTACAAAATTCCGAAAATCCGAAAATAAGTGAATTTGTACCATCACATAACATGATCAAATAAACACAGGATTCATTACCTTGACAAAAAGAAGTTGAATGTTTCCTCGACAGTTTAATTATGATAGAGAACTAATATAGATTTTCTTCTTGTCATGTTAAATTTTAGTATTCCTGATGAGGAAACTTTACTTAGTATTTGCAGGTGTTTTAATCAGTGAGAGACAGTCGTTACGCGCTGATCAGAGATGGCCGACCGTGAGTAAAAAAGTTGCCTATTCTTCTTGTTTTACGGTTTACTTTGTAGTCAACTTGGATGGAAGTTAACTAGTTTGGGGACTGTCTGTTATTTTTCAAATCCTAGTCTTGTCTGTGTTTCAGGCGTTCTACTAGTTGTTCGCCATTTCGGTGGTCGTGGGGAACTGATGACAATTTTCTTCATATTGTAACGCCAAGTACCCCCATTTTCAGTCATTCAGAAACTCAGTTACAATCAGAAGGCCAGGATAATTTGACCGAGCGCTTGTACATCATAATTGCGACTGCAAACCATGCACTTTCCCATAAGTTGTGTAGTGGAAGCACGGTTTGGCATGTTAAGCTGAACGTATCACTCGGAAAGCTCGAAAGCCTAATAGCCCATCTTACTTATTCCTATTGCCCTAGCCTCAAGATGAACACCAAATATGAACAATCGTAACGGTCTATTCCATGTTAAATGTCTAGGTTCCATTGGAAGGAATTTCCACCCTATTCGAAACCATTGTTAAACTTTGATCGCGCTCCTAATGCTGTACGGAAGGTAATTACCAGAAGCCCATGATGTGCAGGTTTTCCTTTTACCTAAAAGCTGATTTCCGCAATTGAATTAGTCCTACCGTACGATGATTGTATGTCTGAGTAACACCATCCAACCAATAGCATCACAGGTCAGACATATTCAAGTACGACAACACTGTGCCTAACTGCAGTGTCCACGTTAGTTGATTTTCTTACTCAAGCAATATATTCCTATTTCATTGTATTTGTCGTGTAGTTGACTGTCTTGCAATTTCCTTTGTACAATCGTGCATTGATTTCTGGGTCGTTAGTCAAGTATCATCTATGCTACTTCAATTTCAGCGAGTTATGCCACATTTTTGAAGGAGTGTAGTAGCAGTTGTGTTAATCATCCTTGTGTTAGCTATCATGCTAATAATGTAAACTGTGTTCACGCTCCGTCTGTTAATAAGGTAAAAACTAAAATCTCCAAATAGGTTAGATGTGATCAACAAGCGGACTGGATTTGTCCAATTTATCAGTCGCGAGTCGGTAAACGACAGCATAAAGGTTGTGACAAGTGTCCATCAGCAGGCTGCGATACCACATCGACAGTATGTGGTCAACGGAATGTAGCTTGAAAGAATTATGGGTGGTTCAAAAAAAGATGAGTTTGAGGATTGCAAAGTGTAGTGTAATGATGAAGCTCATAGCTTGGTGTAATATGAAGAGGGGATGCATCTGCACCACTCACCGCCTTTAAGCAGTGATCAACTTTTTTGGTCGCTTATAGAAATCTTGCGGACCACGGTCCTCCATAACGACAACTTCATATTATCACAAATGCCGGGTTATTCTGGGGTTAGTATTTTCTTGATTAGTGAATTGAGTGAATGACATCAGTTCTAAGGCTCTTCAATGTACGACTCTTGCAATCGGTCGACGTAAAGTAAGTATCCCCATTTTTTCATTCGCTTACGGGCTTTTTCCCCCTAGTTAATTCTCCATAACCGTTGACATCACTATCTTTATTTCTCGTTAAAATCTTGTTTATGCAAATGAACTTGAGTTAGCAAACATCGTATCCGAGGCTAATTAGTTGAGTGTCGATTCTAATATCTGTTTACTCGTTCTAGTATGTAGTACATTTTGGCGAGATTATAATTGACGAACGAATCAATCAGACATTATTATTATTATTTGAACAGATAGATATTGGTACAAGGAAGCACCAGATAAATATGCGCGGCACAAATCTCGTTTGATTTGTGTGAGGGCCGAGATACTGCCCGGCTGCCCAAACCGAAGCTGGTGGTTTTCTTACGTGGTCACACCCGGAGCCTTCGACCTAAACGTCTGGTCCACAAGGCAGTGAAGCATCGTGAGGAGATGCAATCCCATGGTAGTCGACGACCAACGATTGATTCATACGCCATTTGTTCCCTCAGGATACTGGAGCCCATGTGCACCATTGGTTTGGAATCAGGGTTTTCCAACTCCCCTAGGTGGACTCGCAGTGTCCACCAACTCGGTTAAAGCGCCGGACATTCGCTTTTCGTCCTCTCAATTTCGTAAACAACAGTAATGCCACGAGAAGACAGTGAGTAGGACTTCCTTGGAAGAGGCTATATACGCGTGGTTATGTGAGAGCATTTCGTGAGGGAGAGCAGACTCTTCCCACTCTCAGCCGTACCAGGGCATTTACGATAACATGTCTTGGATTTTGGCGCGAAATTATTCCATTCATTTGGCTAAACGAAGTTTTGGCATTATAGCTAGTGTCAGTCCGTGATGAAGACCACAACTAGCAACTATAAATGTTAATCCTAATTCCTCACTGGTTTATATCCCTCATTTAGCCGTTGTATGTAAGTGAACATCCTGAAGGTCATAAAAGAGTCGCCAAAAGGTCGTCTATAAATTATAGTCTCACCTACATTTCTAATTGTAATTCCTACTTCAGTTCAGCAAGTCTCATCCCATGCTTTCCCAGTTCTGCCTGTGGGTTTTCGCTTGAGGTGTGCTATTTAAAATCTTTTCACTTGACGGGTTAGTCTTCTGGTATTTGAACATGAAAAGCCCTTTCCAAAATGTATTCATGTTTCTATGAATACAGTGGTCGAGTGCTGTTAGAGGTATGAGGGCGGTTATCACTACCCGGTTGCCCCGCCGTGAAAGGGTCCTTCTAGAAGTCCCCGAAACAGAAAATGACTTAGAGCATGACAGTGCCCAAAGAGAAAGCTGCTTCAGCCCAATCACAACTGACCGTTTTGTGGGTAATTTCCGTGTTAGCTCCGTAATTGTTAGGATCTTACCACCGGAGATGGAAATCTGTGGGGTAAGGCGAGTTGTGTATTTTAAGGGTTGACCTTTTCTAAACCCACCCCTCCTTGTCGGAAAACAGCATCGCTGTTGTGCCAGTCGTCCGAAGCAAACGCCTTACTGTCGTCACAACTCTACAGTTAGCAGTACGACTTAACCTTCGGAGTTAGGGTTTTCTGCTCTTAGTCTCACTGCTCCTCAACCGACCTGTCTGGTATGGTAGGACCTTGAGAAACGATTGTTCTAGCCAGTATAGCTTGATTGGTCCATCACGATAGATAAGCGCGTCCACCACGTCAAGGTAGTAGCAACCATCCTTAACACTAGTCAGCTTTGGGGATGGTTGGAAGAAAGCTAGGGGCGGCCAAACCAAATCCTTGCATCAGCGTTGAAGTCACTGACTTCTGATCTGAGCCATGTTCGTTGTTGCAGACTACATGGTTGGGGTCCGCGTGACTAGCGTGACCAATGGTTGGAGACTGAGTGACATGGCTCAAAATCGATCACTGTGGCGTAGGTGCATAGATTTTTGTCTTCCCTTGAACCATGAGATTAAAATTCATGTCTTTCTACAAACTAATTCTTTCTTCCCGTATTATATCCTTATGCACAATCTTTTATGTTACTACCATTGAAGTAACTGCTATGAATTCGATGTTCATCTTATGCTAATGAGAAGTGGCAACTTGGATCAATGCATATGTGCCTTGTCTTACGTTGTAGCTGACTGATTCCTATCTCTAGTGCTTTCTGAAGTACGAGGGCGACCGTTACTTTCCAGTTGCTCGTAGTGTGGGAAGATATTTCTTTTTGAAGTACCTGAATAAGGTGAGTGGTACTTGTACCAATCAAGGAGCATACAACGAAGCCCGGAGAAAAACTGCTGAAGGCCGATCACGCGACCTTTTTGTAAGTGTAAAGTGTTGGCTCCGTACTCCAAAAAGCCCAACCAATTAAGACAGCAATCCCTGAGATAAGGTAATGGTTTAAATATTTAGAGTCGATCCTCTTCGGCCCTAACTTATCGTTCTGAGAATGCAACACCGCCAAAAATCTTGGTTGCCTAAATGGAACATCCCACTGACTGTTGTAATAAATAAGAATTGTTCCAAACTTCCCTGTAAATGAATCAGGTCAACTGGGTTGAAGGACTTCAAATAAAACTAAATCTTCGAAGTGAATAGGTTAAGACATCATTTATTTAAATACCGTCGAATGTGCTTTTTGTTTTATGTCTTACGTTAATAACCAGAAAGTAATGCAATACTTGGTTTGTCGAAATGAATTTCCGCTTTTATTTTTGATCGAAATCCAAGTTTATATGTCTTCCTTGGTTTTAGAGTTCGCTTACGCTAACATGCAGCAGGCCAGTCAAGCTGGCTACCCTCCTTTCCACTACCCAACAGCAAGTGACCAAAATGCTCAGTTGCTTCAAGGTTATGCTCTTTCTCAACAAGGAAACCCAGCTGCCGGAGTTCCGGGTTCTATGTTTGGTGCTCAGTCAGCTGCTTCATATAATTTTGACCAAACAGGCTCTGCTTACAACCAATCCTCTTCGATTCCCGTATGCCAGGTAGACGGTTCACAAGTCCCTATGCAACCCGGTTTGTTTGATAACTTGTTGTTTATGACTTCCAGCTGCTGGAGGCTTTGCTTATCCTAATTTCTCTGGTTCATTCAACCAGTATCCTGGAATGGGGCAAGGGATGCCTCCTGGATTGTCAGCTGTCCAAGCAGGCTTCAGTACCGGTACTGCAACATAACCTTTTTTTATTTCTAAAGATATGCAACAGTTTGGTCCACTCATGGCTAATGCTTTTGGACAAACAATGTCTGCCAATGGAGCGATTTTAGAGGCTATAGCTCACGAACAAGGACTTGCAGGTTAGATTTTGTTGACAATCCGAGATTTCTGAATTTCAGGTTTTAATCCAGTCGCTTTCCTCCAAGACCCAACTGGCACAAACACTCGCGGTGGATTGGGCTCTGGAAGAGGCAGCAGGTATGTTAAATCCAAAATCTTTGGTACATCTGAATATCGAACGGTGTTTTGAGTTTTGATCGAAATTTTTGAGTGTCTCCCAATCAGTCGCGTATTTGGTTCAATTTGAGTGGGAGCTGTGTTTTTCGTCAGTGTTTTGGGTAACTTTATTGGTAATTACCAGTCAATGGTTTTATGGTATATGTGTGAGTCTTGGTATTTTTGGCTCCCCACTTTAATATTTTTTTTACAGAAGCAAGTTGTCTTCTGGTGTTTTTGTGTTTTCACTATTTTGAATTTAACGAAGATTAGTGTTTTTCAGCCAAAGAGGTGGATATAACAAGTTTGGCGGTAAGTTATTTCCAGTGAATTTTTCAAATTTGCTAGCTGAGAACTCAGCAGCTTTTATATGAGTCATCATTTGTCTCGTCCTACCTCTTTTAGGTTCGCGGTCGGGTTCCAACTTACCCAGTGTCACTAATCGTAAGTTGTTCATTCATAAAGTAAAACCGATCGTTTAGCTGATGGACTCCGGGAGGATACAATTTTTGTCAGTAATCTGCCTCAAAATATTGATCACGATGTGATGAAGTCTCAATTTGGTGTCGTTGGGAAAATAAAGGTATCTATTTACAGTAATGGTAATTTGCAATATAGATCAATTCCAAAAGCGGTATGCCTATGATATGGATATTTAAAGAAAAAGGTATACCTAAAGGGGAAGCGCTTGTAACTTATGAGGATCCGAGTTGTGTCCAATCAGCTATTCAGTGGTTTAAAGGTATGTTCCTAACATGATGTACTTCAACACTTCCCAATATGTTTCATTTGTCGTTACTGCTTATTTTCTATTTTGTAATTCTACTAGAGCATGAGTTTTTGGGAAGAAAGATTGAAGTCAAACAAGCTATTAACAGTCAAAGACCAGTTATTATCCCACCTGGAGGTGGTGGTTTGCTGGGAGGAAATGGAAATGGACCAAACAACCCTGCTGCTGCTCTGGCTGTTGCAGCTGTAGCTGCGGCTGCTAGTGGGAACACTGTCGCCAGCTTGATGAATAACAGTGCGGCTGCTGCAGCCAGCCTTGCTGCACTTACGGCGAACAACCCTCAGCTGGCAGCCCACTTTGATTCCAAGGAGTATCCAGGTATGGGTCGCGGGGCAAGCACAGCCTCTCGAGGTGCCCGTGGAGCAATTACTAATGGTTCTTCTGTAAGGCCTAACGTCGGTTCGGCTCAAGCAGGTTCAAGAGAAGGTGACTGGAGCTGTCCACAGTGTGGTAATATCAACTTTTCGTGGCGAGAACAATGTAATAGGTGCCAGGTAGGTTTATCATAATTTTCGTGTTTAATTGGTATGTAGTCACCAAATAGGTTTTAACTCTTGAGAGCACCACTCAGTCTGAAGTATTTCAATTTATGCTTGAGGTTGTGTGTAAAATAAACCTTGTTTCAATCCTGGTTATTACTTTATTGTCTGTTTTTAAATGTTTGCTCTTATTTCGCGATATATATTTCGGTATATATATAGGTACAGAAAATTAAGCGCTACTAACGACTTGATAGGAAAGATGTGAGGTACTTAGATTTATTTCTCTCGTTGAGTATGTTGGTACGTTAAAGTAGCAGTGCAACTAACCATGACAACTTTAATACCCTTATCATGTCAAACAAAACTTTATAGAGTTTGAAGCATTATTTGTGAATCTCAGCTATCATATAATAACACTAACGGTCCGTTAAAACTGTCTTTGTTGTGATAGGAGTTTAAACCACCTTTCAGTAACCGAAGCTCTTTTACCATTATCGTTAGCATCTTAAGTCTTTTAGTCGTGAATATGTGAGTTACCGACTTATAAATAAATTACATGGTTTGAAAACTACATCATCACAGACGATAGCAGGTATCTACTTTACTTGTTAGGGTCTTGAGCTGTATTTATTTGATTTGTGCACTAATTTTACTGTTGGGAGTTAAAAATCTTGTCATCGAAATTCCCAGGTTTTATTATTAGACTACATATTCAGCCTCTCAACAAACTCTTATTTATACTGATGTAATTTCTCGGGTAAGTTATGACTTAAAAACACTTATTTAAGTTATAAACTTCACTGGGATAGTTATGTACGCCCCTCTACGTTTCATTACATTTATTTTTTGCCAAACAACATCGCTAAGAATTCTTGCTATCTCATTTTGTTTACAGAAACTTCATGTGGTCATCATTTTTAATCATTTTAATCGTAGCATTTCATTCTTTTCAGTCAACACGTTCAGGCGATGGATCTAGTAATCCTGATACGAATTCTAGAAATAACTTAAATGCAACTACTCGAAGTGCTCAACCGCCTGTCGCAGTTATGAATTCCAGTTCTCAACAGAGCAACCCTGGATTTGGACGAGGCGGGACAATGAATCCTACTTCAGGCGCCAATCGAGGAGGTCGAGGTGGTGGTCCCATGCGCGGAAGTAGTGTTGGGACAGGTCGAGCACGTCCAGCGCCTTATTAAGTTATCTAAATTTGTCATTGTAGGAAAATATCTTGAAATATGCTTTCATGATGCATTTCAGGTCTCTGCAATTGGTGTCTGTTGTCTCACTAACTAGATGGTTTGTGAAATATTGTATTTGAACTATGTAATTATGGTCATTTAATCCAATAATTGTTATATGCTCTACTCCAGCTTAGTTTATTTTTGATCCTGAATTCGTAGCGTAACTCCAGGCAACTTAACACCAATTATTCTATTTAAATGATGAAAGGAATTTAGTAGAAGCCAAAAAACGTCTCTTATTACAATCTACTTGAAGAAAACAAAATCAGGTATGGTCAGTTCTTGTCTAGTCAGGATTAGTAGCGACTGTAGTGTTAGTTTTAATTGCTAATGTGAGATACAAGAAAATATCATAGCATCAGATTTTCTGATAGTTGGGTCGTTTGATTAAACGATACCTAGCAGATTCCAATGAAGACATTCAGCCTTTGTGTTTATTTTCGCACTTAAATTCAATCCATTTCATCATACGGACTGTAAGTAATGAGAATTCCCACAATGAAGTTCTTATTCCTTTTGTGAATTCATTCTAGCAGACTATATATAATTATTTTTACGCAGTTACTTTCTGTGCACTAGCTACAAGATTGAACTATTTAATTGGGCATTGGTATTAAAATCTATGCATCATCTCAAATTTTAATAAAGTACTGACTGTATTTTCTAATGCGTTAAATTTCAGCTGTATCATTATTTCACGCATAATATATGAATTCGGAGATACTTCTCAATTGGCTAGAGTTTCGTGTAGGAGCAGTTTGTTACTAAACGTATATTAATTCTGTATGAAATTGTTGAGTAGCGACATCGAATAGATAGCTAAATAGTTCTCAGTGTTTTGTTCCAGTTAATCTGCGTTGTCTGATTATAGTAATAATTTTAATATTTGTGGCGTTTGTAAAAAATAACCGTAGAAATAAAGATTCAAGTGTCTGTCGAATATTGCAAGACGTTCACCGATTGAAGCAATAAGCGGAGGTCATTAAAATGGGCTTGGTGAGTATTGCCGCATTCAACTGACCTTTATTCTTACTCGTCACTTTAAATGGCTTACTTCCGTACTATTTTCGGTACTATAATCTGTCGTTCTATAGTTACTATATTAATAATATGATCTGACAATAACTTTCACAAGTGAAGTGTTTCTTGATATTTTTTGAACAAACCCTTCGCGTCACTAGCCTGACTAAAAGCGAATCGTACCAACTGTTTATTCTTGATACCACGAAATTTAACACTCAGAAAATCGGGAATGTGAACTAATCCGGGTCTCGTTTCCTAGGTCGTTTAGTTAATCTATCACAACATCCATACAACGACCCATAATAAAGATGCCTGTCTACACTGGGAAAATGTAAGAGGCGCTACATTTCGAGACTCGGCATTTCGATGATACTCAGTTTATCACGTCCCTGTAAGCAACTGACAACGGTTGCAGATTCCATATCTCTAGAGAAATAGTCTTCAGTTTATTCTGCTTCAGAGCATTTTTAGTTGTAACTAATAAACTGACGACGACTTGTCATCCTACTCAAATATAAACAACTTGAGTGCTAGTCTATTATTTGGAAGAAATAAATGAAAAATTGCACCTGCAAGTAGTGTATACTTATATGGTGATGGGTTTTCATATTCGACAAACATGAGAGCGCCGTTTAGTCAATTTTTTGTATAGAGGTACCCTCACAAAGTTATGGGGATTTATCACTCAGTGTCCACACATACTTTTAATGCGGCGAAACACAGTTCATTGTCATAAACATAGTAGGATTCACTGCTTTATGGTCCGATATTAGTACACAGATTTGGGTTGTTGATCGACTTAGTTTCTCAAGGTTAGTGACATCAGATTGTGTTGAAATAACTAGTTTTTCCATACGTTGAGGGATTTAGTTGACTTGTGAAACTCCGACCAGTTAAAGTGACAGGTCCTATGGTGTGTCAAACATATGATTAGAGCTGATAGTTTTCCTGTACAGAGGTATTTGACTATTCAGTATCGTATTTATTGTGAAGTTTGATTGCTACCCGTTTTCCTAGATTGGGATCTTCTTCAACCATTACTATTTCTTTGCCTGTTTTGGAGAATATTTTCAGGATACACCAATTAGCGTCAGTAAAATTTCGTCACGGAAAAATTAAGGTTAATTTTGATTTTCTGTGCAGTTTTTCGCTTCAAATATGAAACTATTCATTTCATTAGTCCAGAGCATTTGTCATAAAATGCCGTCTACGTTTATGTACTTGTATTTCCAATAAGGGTAACGGTGTGGTCTTTTAGTTGGATGTACCTTCACTTCATTGTTGGTTTTTATACTGGTGCTCATCGCTCTAAACTGTTTTGTTATTCGCTATATCCTGAGTTGTACCAAGCTTATTAATGAGCGTTATTGGGGTTTGGATTTTCTAGTTATGTTCAGAACCTAGTCAATCCTTTGAATAATTATACGGTAATTATCGGTTCACATGACCGAGAACGAATCAATTGCATCTACATAAGGTCACAGAAGAGCCAGAATACATTAGCTGCCATAGGATGTATACTTGGTCCGACGTTATTTAATTTGTATGCAGTCTCCAGTATTACATTGATTTCCTTTAAAGTATTTGCAGCTTCTAAAAGGTAAAGGAACACGTTCAACACTGAGTATTGTTTATTTGGGCTGCTCCCCAACATTTATACTAGAATTTCCATATCTTGAACAATTGCACTTGCTCTGATGTATTGTGATTAATAAAGCTTTAATTACCACCTACTTAGGTGAATGCATAACTTACTAATGTAAATTCTTCTGTTTTTAATTATTTTCATGGGTTTCTTTGTAAGTGGGATGCTTTGATTAGATTTAGTTGTTTCACGATCTCAGGGGGAACCGATGCCAAGTGTTGGTACTTTAGTCTATACTCTTCTCAACCATTTTTCTTTATAAACCTGTGGTAATAGTGTCAGTATGGTTTCTTAAGAGCAGTAAGCATTCCGACCTGCGCTGTTCGTCTCTTTACGTTTGAAAGGAAAAAACCACATCTAGCGCGGTGGTTAATCAGTGAATATGATTACGTATACATATAACGGGAATGAAATGTTGATGTCACAATTCAAAATAGATATCGAACCATGAGGATAATTAGGTTTGGGAGAAGGTAGACAAATTCATTCAGATATCAATTATGGCTGTAGGAAGCTAAAGCAATTAAAATAAGTTCATGTAGTTTTTCCAAGCAGTTCTGTCTGAACTGTAGAAGTAATCAAGGTTGTCGGATATCAGTCAAATAAAGGACTAAATAGTCATCCAACCGCTTTGAGACTTCATTTTCAATCTTGTATCATTCATAGTCACTAATGAAAGGCCATCTTCTTGATACATGTGCCCTTTGTATAAAAATGACCTGATTGTTCATATCTTAATGTCTCAACAAGACTATTACCAATTGTGGTATTTCACTTCTGAACACTGGTCATTGCCGTATCGTGTATTCATCTTAAATGGCTTGAAAGTGCCATCAGTCCATGGGGAACATTCCCCGTGGACTGGTTTCAGTAAGAGTTACCAGAAATAACCAAAAAACTGAGCAAATTTCATTTCAGTGCTCAAATAGTCCCTTGTATATAGCATGTAAAATGACAGTGAACTAAGTTCAATCAGTAATAAGCTCATCAGCTAGTTCAAGTTGGAAAAAATAGAGTAATGAACACAAACTTCGTCACTTTCAGTGTTGAGTCAAGATAATTTTCAGTAGTTTTGAAAAAGCATTTCATTCATAGAATAACTAAGATTCACTCTATGCAGCTGGTTAGTTTCTAGCTACTGATTTACAATGTTAAGAGGATTTCTATCTTCCTGCTGAAACCAGCGGCGCAGATTCATGCAATCGATCTATTTACTCTTTTGTGATTACGCTTCACTAGTCCTAATGTTCATAGTACTCTGGTGTAATTGGTTAATTATTTAGTTTGTCTGGGTGCTTACATTTTCAATTTATATTGCTTATCAGTATTTTTTAAAACACTGATAAATGAAAATAAAATATTTGTAATATCCGATACGTAGAAAAATTAGATATTTTGACTGAATGGATGTGCTGAATTGAAGACAATATAACGATTTGAGCGTGTAGGTTTTCGGTAGATGGATAGATTTAGATTTCCATTTCGATTTTTTTTACTAAGCAATCTAAAAATGGAAGCTCACTGTGTTCATTCTCGTTCGTCAATTGATAAAATACAAACTTTTTCAACATGGATTTTACAAGCAGTTGGATGAGCTGAAGAAAAAATTTTAGTGTCTGTATATACCTCAAATTATATCAACTTTAAACCAATATGGCCTACACGTAGATTAAACATTTACTGCGGTTGTAGTTATCAGTTCCATGATTAAACTTAATAATTTCAAATAAATTGAGTGGAAAGTTAGTAAAAAATTTTCTTCTGATATCCCAATAAGTAGAAAATTTTATTTCTTATGTTTTGCGACTTAATGTAAGCCACTTTTCAGAATGAATAATACATACAATGAATAATACAATAAACATAAGTCTAAATAGTGAAAACGGAACAAAGCAGAATATTTGGTTTACAATCAAAATCATAATCGGCCTGAATAAATAAATGTCAAGTTTTTTTTGGTTAAGATGGATTAGTATGATCTGTCACTATTAATTTGTGTCAGAAATTAGGTATGAGAAATGTATACATTTGTAGTACTCCCACGTATTGTTTACGTCTGTTACGCTCAATGGAGCGTAGGCCGCCACCAGCATTCTCCGACCCACACTGTCCTGGGCCTTCCTTTCTAGTTTTATGCAGTTATTGTTCATTCTTCTCATATCTGTTTCCACTTACCAGCGCAATGTGTTCTTTGGTCTTTCTTTTTTCCTTTGGCCTTCAGGATTCCATGTACGGGCTTGTCTTGTGACGCAGTTGGGTGCTTTCATCAATGTGTATCTTGTCCACTTCCGGCGCTTCTTCCTCAGAAAACTAGTTTGTTCGGTTGTGCATATTGTGTTGTATCGGAGAGTCTTGCTTTTCCCTTTGTTTATATTGAGACACTGGTCGTCTTCTCCTGCATTTATTGTTGCGTGTGTTATAGAAGAGCCAGATCATCTGCGAAGTCCAGATCGTGCAGCTGCATCCTAGCTGTCTACTGTATCTCGTGCTTCCACCCAAATGTTGACGTCTCCATGATCAAGTTGATCACCCGAAGAAAAACAGGGTGAGAGCAAGCAACCTTTCCTGACACTAGTCTTTACTTCGAACGAGTCAGTGAATTGTACTCCATGCATGATTTCTCAGTTCAATCCGTCATAGGATTTTCCTATGATATTGACTATCTTCTCAGGCACCGCGTAGTGCAGAAGAAACATTCTTAGTATTGTTCTGTCCATGTTATCAAATACTTTCTCGTAGTCAATGAAGTTGATGTAGAGTGATGAATTCCATTCAATTGATTGTTCTACAATAATCAGTAGAGTTGCGATTTTATCTGTACGCGATCGATCGTTACGGGATGCAGCCTGTTGGTCTGGAAGTTGGGCGTCTACGGAGTCTTTCATTTTTTTTTAACAATACTCTGTTGATAATATTTACTGGTATTGAAAGAAGAGTGATGGCCCTGTAGTTATCGCCCCCAAATGCCTTGGTACAGCTGAGAGTGAAGAGAGATCGCTCTCCCTCTCGAAACGCCCCCACATGGCCACGCGTATATAGCCTCTTCCAAAGAAGTCCTACTCACTGTCTTCTCGTGGCATTACTGTTGTTTACGAAATTGAGAGGACGAAAAGCGAATGTCCGGCTCTCTAACCGAGTTGGTGGACACTGCGAGTCCACCTAGGGGAGCTGGAAAAACCTGATACCAAACCAATGGTGCACATGGGCTCCAGTATCCTGAGGGAACAAATGGCGTATGAATCAATCGTTGGTCGTCGACTACCATGGGATTGCATCTCCTCACGATGCTTCACTGCCTTGTGGACCAGACGTTTAGGTCGAAGGCTCCGGGTGTGACCACGTAAGAAAACCACCAGCTTCGGTTTGGGCAGCCGGGCAGTATCTCGGCCCTCACACTGATGATGCAACGGATATTCTAGTTTTACAACTAGATACCAGTAGCACCTTCTAAATTCGGTTGTTCCCAGTCAGATAGAAATCAGAAGTCGGACGAGAATAGGCAGGAAAGATATATTTGATTCGTTACCAATATATCGTGGACCTTTTCTATGAGCTGGCTAATGAAACGTAGGAGCTGTGTCCCACGCCGAGTTGAAACGTGATCTGGTGCGGATGCATGACCGAAAGCCTTCAGCTAAACAAGTCCACTTAAACAACGTGGTCAGCATCCAATGTCGAACACTTAATGAGCTATTGATTTTGGGGAATTATTTACAGCTACAGATCACTCCCCCCCCTAGTGAGGTAGTGATGCCCCTAAGACGTGACCAGCCAGAAGTTTAAACCCAACGAATTTGTCGTTGGTAAACACTCTTCTGATAGCTTGCTTCGTTTAGCAGCGTCTGGTCGTCTTTCCTTAAACTATGGGACCAAAATGTACAACGTAGCAAATAAAGAAATATAGTACAATGAAAATTTCTGTTCCTTGCGAAAACTTCGTCGTTCTTTTCCAGCCGTCCTGGAAAAGAGAGAAAATAAAACGTGTGAGTGCATGTCGGAAATACACTCGTACTTGCGTAGGGACACAAGATGAGCTGGAAAAAAATAAGCTGATACACTTACAAACAGCGTAAAAGCGATCGGAAAAAAGGTTTTCTTTTTTTTTTTTTAATATATAAATATATATATATATACGTTCAAAAAAAATGTTTTTTTTTGTGTTTTTTTACATAAATAAAAAATGAGCATATTAAAAAAATTTATAATAAACTTTGAAAGGGTAATTCCAGATAAAGCTTATGTCCTACGTGCAATATTCGTTAAGATGTTCTGGAAATCTTACTCGTCTTCCAGAACGCGTTGTTTTAGGTTTTTCTATCGACGTTGACGAAGTATCAAGTTGTGTGTCGGTTGTCGTGTAGGGTACTACGAGTGTAGTAGCTGTGTCGTTTGCTTGTACCGAAGGAAAATCGACGTAGCTAGGGTTTTCTTCTAGGTACGCAGCTTTGAGTCGATCGATACTGATGCTATCTTTCGTACCGTTCTTGTTGACTACATAGTACTTAGGTTCGCGTTGAAGAACTTTGAAGGGTCCTTCGTATGCTGATTCGAGGGGTCGTCGATGTGAGTCTCGACGAACGAAGACGTGTGTACTATGTCGTAATTCGGGTTGAACGAAAACATCAGTTGATTGAGGTCGAGTGTGAGCAGGTTTAACTGAACGCATAGCGTTTGTAAGCCTACTCGTGTAAGAGTTTAGATCCATGTTCAATGAGGAAGCTGAAGGATCCACAAATTCTCCTGGGAGTCGGAGTGTCGTTCCGTAAACGAGTTGAGATGCCGTGTATCCAATGTCAGCTTTCACTGCATTGCGGATACCTAGCAAGACGAGTGGAAGAGCGTCTGTCCACTGTGAAACGTTTGAAGCTGATAATGAAGCTTTTAATTGTCGATGAAAACGTTCTACCAACCCGTTTGCTTGTGGGTGGTAGGCGGTCGTTCGGAAGCGCGTGATTCCTAATAGTGAGGTCAGACAACGGAACAGTCCAGATTCGAACTGGCGTCCGCGGTCTGTAGTGATGGTTGAAGGGCAGCCGAAATTTGCTACCCATCGTTCGACGAAAGCGCGGGCCACTGTTTCAGCAGTAATGTCCTTAATCGGTACTGCTTCTGGCCATCGAGTAAAACGGTCTACGCATGTTAGGAGATATGAGTATCCGTTCGAGTCGGGTAAGGGTCCTACCAAATCTAGATGGACGTGGTCGAAACGAGCGTCAGGGGTTTTGAAAGAACCTAAGGGACATTTGTTGTGTCTGATTACCTTAGATTTCTGACAGCTTACACAGGAGCGTGCCCACTCCCTCACGTCTTTATTCATGCCAGGCCAACAAAAGCGTTCGGCTATAAGTTCGATTGTTGTACGAGCACCTGGATGAGAAAGATTGTGCAACGTATTGAAGACGTTGCGGCGATAGTGTTTTGGTACAATTAGACGATCCCTACCTGTAGATGTGTCACAGAGTAAGGTTTCCTTACCTGTTCCCATCTGCCTAATACTTAGTTTAAGAGTTGTCGAGGATAACTCATGCTGCAGATCAATGTCTTCTTTTTGAAGCTGAGCGAGTTTAAGAAGGTTGAATCCTTGGAAACTGTTCAAGGAATTTATTCGAGACAAGGCGTCTGCGACTACATTGTTTGCTCCAGAAATGTGTTGTATGTCTGAAGTAAACTGCGAAATGTAGTCGAGTTGTCGAGACTCTCGCGGTGAGTACTTGTCTGAAAATGAATTTAAAGAGAAGGTAAGAGGTTTGTGATCGGTAAAGAGCGTGAATTCTCTTCCTTCGATGGAATGTTGAAAATGCCGTACAGCACAATACATAGCTAGGAGTTCCCTACCGAACGCGCTGTACCTAGATTCAGCGTCTAGCAACCGTCTCGAGAAAAATCCTAAAGGTTGCCACGAGTTGTTAACCCATTGTTGTAAGACTGCTCCGATTGCTGAGTCGGATGCGTCTACGGCGATACTAATGGGCGCTTGACTGTCCTGATGAGCAAGCAGGGTTGCTTTAGCGATGTGGTCCTTAACTGTGGAGAATGCTTTACGGGCTATGTCGTCTAAACTAATTGATTTCGCATTTCCACGAAGCTGATCGGTTAACGGTTTCATTAGGGATGCGCATTTAGGTATGAACCGTCTATAGAAACTTACGAGTCCGTTAAAAGTTCGTAAGTGCTTGATCGTGGTCGGTTCTCGGTAATCCAGAATGGCCACCACTTTGCTCCTAAGGTGTCGGATGCCTTGGGCATCAATGGTGTGTTCTAAGAAGTCTAAGGAGTTGGTTCCGATTTGGCATTTCTGTGTGTTGACAGTAATGCCATGCCTTTGGAGTCGATAAAAAACAATGTCCAGATGCTAGATATATGATTCTCTCTCCGGACTTGCTATTAGACAGTCATCAACATACGCATGTACGAAGTTGAGAACTCGGAAGACGTCGTCTATAAACCTTTGGAAGGTTTGAGCCGCGTTTCTTAAACCAAAAGGCATTCGTAGAAATTCTTAAAGACCGAAGGGAGTGATGATGGCGGTTTTAGGAATGTCGTCAGTTGCCATCGGGATTTGGTTATAAGCTTTAACCAAGTCGATTTTCGAAAAGACAGTTGTACCTTTCAAGGTAGCTGTCAAATCGTGAATATGAGGCAGCGGGTAACGATCGGGAATGGTTTTAGCATTCAGACGCCGATAATCACCAGTTGGCCGCCAATCATTGCTGTCCTTTTTAGGGACCATGTGCAATGGGGATGCCCATGGACTATTCGATGGTCGAATTATTCCTAGGGGTCTATGGCGTGCTTAATCGTGACTGGGGATAACCTGCAACCAGAACAAGGAGTTACGCTAACAGATAACTTAGTGTTTCCGTCTATTAACTTTCGTGAGCGTGTGTCGATTAGTAGATTGTGGTGTTGTAACAGGTCAATACCAATGATTGGCATAGAGACATCTGCAACCACGAAAATACAGTGTATGGGTTTGCGTAAACCCACGTTAAGGTAGACGTACCTTTTACCGTAAGTAGCGATCGGCTTTCCGTTTGCCGCCTGTAAAATTAAAACAGACTCGCGAAGTCTGTCGTCGGGATTTGCTGGAAGAACGCTAACTTCTGCGCCAGTGTCGACGAGGTAGCGAACTTTAGTGGTCACGTCCGTGACATATAAGAGGCGGCTGTGTTCGCCGGCTACGGTTGCCGTTAACGCGTGCCGGCTGGGAAGTTTCCCAAAATCTTATTCGTGTCAGTCGATTTTGAAGTCGGATAATTGCAAGGTTTCCTGCAATTTTTGGAAAACTTACCGTACTGGTTATGATACCAGCACCAGTCGGGATTGTCTGTCTCTCGTGGTCGAGAGCCAGATCGCTTACGTGAGGCGCTTCTACGCGGGGTTTTTGACCGACTACGGTCATTGCGAACTCTAAGATATCGTGTAAGCGTGTGACATAGTTCGGCCATGTCAGTCGAGGTCGATTGGGGTTTTTCTTTGACGGAAAAAACCTCGCCCTTAGAAGATCTAGTGATTTCCAAGATTCGATCGGCAGATGCAGCTAGTTCATCTATGGCATTGTTTTGAAATGAAACAAGCACTGCCTGCACCTGTTGAGGGAGTTTAGACAAGAAAAGTTGTCTAAATAGGCCATCATCGAAAGTTCGTTGGCCGATGACTTCTCTCATTCTAAGCAACATGTCCGTCGCAGAACCATGTTGCAAGTCGATATTGTTAAGGAGTTGGTCTAACCGTTGTCGATCAGTTAGGTCTCCTCGTTTTAAAATCGATAGCTTAAGCGATTCGTAAGGTTCGGAAACATCACTAGTAAACATACTAGGTGTTACGTACCTGTTAAACTCGCGCGGTTACGCCTTAACTACCGCGAGGAAACGTGTGCGCGAGTCCGTGATTCCGTGCATGCTAAAATCGGCTTCTGCGTAGCAGAACCAGGACTCGATATTGTCGGGCCAAAATGGCGTTAACTGAATCGAAATAGGGGGAATAGTCTTTAATTTAAGAACCTTAGGAGAGTGTTCCGTCATAGTAATATAGATATCGAAAAATGTCTAAGTAAAATATATCCGAGAAAAAAAAGGTATATCACAATATATAAAATTCAAATAAAGAATAACAATAAATAATAATATTCCAAAATGGAACAGACTCACAGTATATTGACTTGGTGTACCAGATCACGTCGGGTTCACCAATGAAGATGCAACGGATATTCTAGTTTTACAACTAGATACCAGTAGCACCTTCTAAATTCGGTTGTTCCCAGTCAGATAGAAATCAGAAGTCGGACGAGAAGAGGCAGGAAAGATATATTTGATTCGTTACCAATATATCGAGGACCTTTTCTATGAGCTGGCTAATGAAACGTAGGAGCTGTGTCCCACGCAGTATTGAAACGTGATCTGGTGCGGATGCATGACCGAAAGCCTTCAGCTAAACAAGTCCACTTAAACAACATGGTCAGCATCCAATATCGAACACTTAATGAGCTATTGATTTTGGGGAATTATTTACAGCTACAACACAAATCAAACGAGATTTGTGCCGCGCATATGTATCTGGTGCTTCCTTGTACCAATATTTATGTGCTTAAATAAAATAATAAACATGTAGTTATCACACTTTCTGAAATCGCCTTTCTTTGGTATTTTCATCAGGTGTCCTTCTTCCCAGTCTGTTGGTACTTGTTCTTCATCCCAAATCTTATTGAAAAGAATGTTGAATATCTTTGCAGTTACTGCTGCGTCTGCTCTCAGTGCCTCTGCTGTAATATCTGAACCTGCTTCTTTGCCGCTTTTGATTTGTCTGATGGCCATGCTGATCTCCAATTGTTCGCGGGCCAACATGTTTTACTCGCCTGTTTCGTTGTTCTTCAATGTTGGTGATTACTTTGCCTTCCTTGTTTTTCACTGGTCTTTCTGGTTTACGGTAATTTCCAGCAAGTTTATTTGTTGTATCATATAGTTGTCTCATGTTTCCTTCGCTTACAGCCTTTTCCGCTGTCATTGCTAGATCTTCCACATATTTACGTTTGTCGGTTCTGATGCTCCCCTTCATTTGATTGTTTGCTTCTGTGTATTCAGCTTGTGCCTTGAATTTCTCTGTTCTTGTTCGGCTTGTATTGATTGCTGCCTTCTTGTTCCTCCTTCAATCTTATCCAGTGTACCGACAGTGATTCATTCCTTGTGACGGTGCTTCTTGTGGCCCAGAACCTCCTGACATGTTGAAGTAATTGCCTCCTTAATCCCTTTCCTGTTGTTCTCCATAGTAGTTCCTGCTTCAGTGAATAGATTATGAAAGGCTTGGAACTTATTGCTGAGGTCTATGTTGAATTCGTCGAGTCTGTCAGTATCTCGAAGAAAGGCCGTATTTAACCTCTTTGTCTGCCTCGTTTTCCAGTGCTTCTTGAGTTTCATCTTGGCGGTCAGCAAGTAATGATCTGAGGCTCCTCCTCAACTCCTCTCTTGGTTCTCACTGTAACATCCTAACGGGAGACATAAGTACGGGTAACTTCCGGGACCTATTAATGGACGATTATTCTATGTATATTCTTATTGTTCAACTGTTGAGTAACTAGATTGTATATGTCCATATTCATCTTATTATAAGCTTCATTTTGACCTATGGATTATTATCATACGAATTACTCTTCCTAAATTATATTTAGTTTATTGACTATTGTATCCCACGTCCACAGCCACATTTGACTTGATCTTGTACAAATATTATTTTCTATTTTATGGTGTGATGCGGTCTGTCTATCTTGTATGTAAACCGAGTATGCTTGAAATAAATGATTCGCATATCTGAAGTTGTAACTGGTGTTCTGGACCCAATTGGAAGGGCTAGGCGGACAAAGGACCAATAAGGACGCTAGACTGCTCATACCAGTTGATCGTCATTGATTTGTCGCAGTGTTAAGATCGGAAAAGTCGTGCTTCGATTGGTGGATAATTCACCTGATAAAAGCCGGACATCATTGACGAATTAGCATATGTCCTTTCTTATTTTTTATAAAGTCATAACACTCACATCCTCCATCGTCCTTCTGAACTTTGTATTGATGTAGATATGGTGTGGTGTGATCCGGTGAAATCCTTCTCCCAGTCTTCGTCGTCCCATGATGTCTTCGTATCCGGTGTTGCCAATTCCAACCTTGGCATTTAGGTCTTCCAATAGGATGGTCAAGTCCTTTGTTCGGAATTTCTCGACAATTGACTGCAGTCTATCGTGGAATTGATCTTTAACGTCTTCATTGTAATCGTTGGTAGGCGCAGAGCATTGGATGACGTTCATTGTAATGCCCTCTTTATTTGTTTTGAAGGAGGCTTTGATGATCCTTGGTCCATGAAATTCCCATCCTATAAGTGAATTTTGTGCTTGTTCGTATAGCATCAGTTTAACGTCTTGTGTGTGTGGAGCATTTTCTTCTTCATGACCGTAGTATATCAGCAGATCTCCTGAAGCTAGTTTTTGTTGTCCAACTTGTGTCCAATGTGTCTCACTGATTCCAAGAACCTCCAGGTTGTATCTTTTTATTTCCGAAGCAACTTGGACGACTCCCACATTGTACGAACACTCCCTATACCTGAAATAATCGTTTCTCTGGTTGTCAGAATGGGCATCAACCTCGTGATTTCCGAAGGGACTCGGCTTTCATCATGGGGCGTCTTAACTTTTCTAAACGAACATCTAACTTTCAGGGAAGAGTTTAGATGGCTTGAATTATTTTTTGGTTGGCGTTTTTTTAACGAGTTATTTTCCTACGGGATAGGATCGCTAATCCCATGCCCAACCCTCCTTTATCCGGGTTTGGGAGCGGCAGTAACTCCAGGCGGAGTTATTATTGTGGAATACAAGGAAATAAAGTGCAAATTTAAGAGAAAATATCAGGAGATAAATATTTTTTGAGTGGGTAGGAAATTATCGATCCTTTGAAAGGAGGACTGTGCTATTTAAAGTCAAATAAATCGATTAGATAACCAGTGCGATGGAGGTTGGGATAGTGTACGGCTTTAAGAAATAAAATATGGTAATTTAGAACATGTCACCACTACAACGGAACGAGGTTTGTAACCTGTGCGATTTGTACCCTTAATGCGTCTGTTACATAAGTGATATTGAAGTCACTTGCTAGGTACCATCTTCCAACACAACTTGTCATAATATTGCGGTTCACGCTGTGTTATAACTTCGGTCAGTCTATTTTATCCCTCGATCTGTTTCTTGACTTAAAACGTGGGCTAGTTATTCGTAACGAATAAATGTTCAGTTGTAAATAACTTGTTACGTATGTAAGATCTCAAGTTTAAATGACGTTTAATATCAGGATTCAGAAGGTGATCATCTTAAGAAACGTGGTTTACTATGATCTGATAGGTGTAAAACTGACTGTCCCTTATAAGAGCGAGACAAAACTGACGTAGGTTTTGTGTTCTATGTTTTGACTAACAGGGAATCATACAGGTTCCATTCTCACAAGTAACATCAATTCCCTCAACATTACAAATTTGTCGTCTTGACGAGTGCAAACTATCATGAATTCCATATATTGGCAGCCCTTAGGAATTATTCGAAAGAGTTTCCGGAAGAGCGTTAAAAACACCTTATCCAATAGTCATCAGATTGGAACTTCGCAGCAACGTCTAGAAAAACTACGGGTTGTATCGCAATTCGACCTTACTGCTGCTAGGTTGGGTATATTTTCGAGTCCAATAGTGAACATCATCTCTGGGATGCAGGTAAATCCAGCTGATAAGCCTCAAACAGGGTGAAGCATGCGTCCTGGATTCCACGGCTGGCCACCATCCATCTTTGCCTATAAAGCTTCTGTTCTTATTCTCTTTTTCTGGTATTCGGAGCTTGGGCTTAGGAGGATTTAGATAATCTAGGAAGCATCTGGGAAGTTGTTACCAGGCTTCTGAGCAGCAAACATATCACCATGTTGAACAAGTGTTCCTTCTGACTGTTTTCTGATCATCAAACTCCAAACAGTGTTGAGTTGCTTAGGATAAGTGATCACATTGACATTCAGTTGATTGGTACTAGAGGCTAAATAAACACGAAATCGGTCACTTCTCACTGTAACGTCTTAAGGTATCCGGTCTATAAATTTAAAAGCGAAGGATTTATGATGCACAAAGTAACTTACTAGTGCGCATATGCTATTATATATAATATTACAACAGTATGTAATAAATCTGTAGTCATTAATTTATGAGTAACTTAGATTGAACGAATAAGAAATCTTTTAGTAAGCTATTTTGTAGAATTGCCATTAAACTGTTCTCTTTATTATTTATATTCTAAAACATTATATGCTAGTGAGTTGATATCTCAACAGACCTGGTTGAACTTGTGTTGACCTACTTTTCTCGACGAGAACGCGATTGGTATAATGGAAACAATTATTAGTATAACCAATTGTACCAGTGATTGTTTTACTGTACTCGTTGTTTGACTGTATCAAAATCAATTTTCGTTCCGTGTCCATCTTGTCCGTTTGAACTTTCTTACGCTCTACCTTTATTGCATGTACTCGTTGGCACGTATCGGTATCCTTTCGATACCACGAGATCGCCAATAAATAAACTTTATGTGGACTAATTACAGCCTTCTGGTTTACGGGCTATCAAGGGAACCAAGTTGATTTTAGGCGCGTAATCTTACTGTAGTGGTGGTCATGGTCAATCGAGACTCGACGCCATCTACAAACTCCACTGGTTACTGCTTCTCACTAGAACTCCAGGAAATATCTCATGGAGCTGGTCACTAATGAGCATATGATCATTATGAGAAGGGGGTTTTATGGAGATTTTAGTAATTTTATATATTCGAGATCATGAGTCAATTGAAGCTAGACCACCATGAAAAACCTGGAGTCCCACAATAGGACGAAATGGCCGTCCACTGCTTCCAGGTTTTCCATGGTGATCTAGCTTCAATTGACTCATGATCTCAACTATATAATATTATGGAATAATAAATTACAACATTGTATTAAGTCTGGTAACGATGCAATGAATACAAAATCATCAATTGTTTAAGTGAATTAAAAAAGTATTTAAATTAATCATTTTAATAACATAATAATTATAAGTGTTATTACCTTCAACTTCTTATAAACCACTTAATCGTATTATGAGATTATACACTTCATTAATTATGGGTTCACTTATATCAGTCATATCATTGACCTTATCTGTAATCAATAATACAAATAAACTAGCACTGACTTCAATATTACTCCACTCAATTCATTTCATTCCAAATAGCCAATCAGGAGACGAATGCAACAAGCCAATGTACATTATATCATTATAACTCGTAAACTGATACAATAATTATATGATCCCACTCCACCACCAATTGGAAATTATTTATACACAATATGATTGTAAGTAATACAA